CCAGGATTGCCTGCCAATAAAGTTTTTGTAAACCACAGAAAGATTCCTGGTGCCACTGAGGTTCCACAGGGAAGGAGGTTCCAACAAAAGAAGAATAGATTGGATTTATACCCTACCCTTCACTCGGAGTCTCAGAGTGGCTTACAAACTCCTTTCCCTTCCCCACCCCACAACAGACACCCAGTGAGGTAGGTGGGGCTGAGAGAGCTCTGAGAGAACTGTTCTTGTGAGAACAGCTCTGATAGAACTATGGCTTGCCCAAGGTCATCCAGCAGCTGCAAGTGGAGGAGTGGGGAATCAAACCTGGTTCTCCCAGATGAGAGTCCGCATACTTAACCACTTCACCAAACTGGCTTGTCTATGTGCAATAATGGTTTGAGTATCTGCAGCCTTGTCATCCACTCTCAGCTGCTGACCGGCTTGAGCAAGGTCCAGTTTAGCAAAAATCTTTCTTCTTGCTAAGGCAGACAACAGCTGGTTTATGGCAGACATTGGGGGATATGGGTGTTGCTTGAGTGCCTGATTAACGGTACATATCTGGTCTGCCATTTAGTGGGACTCAAAGGCCCCTGCCACACGCAGGGGAAAAGGCGCGGCTTTTAAAAGCCGCACCAATGTTGACACGGCGCGGCGGGATCTCACGGATCCCCCGGCCGCGCCGCCGTTTCTCCCCGGCGCGATCAAACGCCGGGGAGAAAACACGCCCTACTCGGGGGCCGGCCGAACTGCGCATGTCCGGGCATGCGCAGTTCGGCTCCGGGCTGGGGTTGAGCCGGCGCAAGGAAGCGCCGGCTATCACACGCCCGGCTTGAAGCGCCCCAACGAGTTGAACCACCCAAGGTAGGTGGTTCAGTTTGGGGCGGGTCAGGGCGGATTTGGGCCAGTTCGGGCACGGAAGCAGGACGCTTCCCAGATGTTCTGGTGTGATCGCGCTGCTTTGATCCGCACCCGAACTGGCCCGCAACTGGCCCAAATCCCCTCGTGTGAACGGGACCAATGTGGATTACACAGAGTGACTCAATATGATCAACAGGATGGTACATTCAGTAAGCTATGAAATAGAACTTGGGTTGTAGAACCAACCAGAAATCTGGGGAAGAAGCAGTATTGAAGGAAAGCATAAATATTAACATGACCCACTAAATGATGCAAAGTGGCATAGTAGAATCCACCGTACAGAAAACTATATGCAGTAATATAGACTCCGGCCCCCAATGATTTATCCAAGTAACTTTGTGAAGCCTTTTGTACAGTGCTACCGTATTGCTTGCCTAGAAAAGCCCTCTTGAATAATTAAGTTTTTTGTTTACTTTGAGGAAAGCCAGGAGAGTAGGTGCCTTCTGACCTCCTCAGGCACACCATTTCTGGGGGCCAGAACGGAGAAGGCACACGTACAGGCCAGCCAGTGGAGGGATTGCAGAACTGCAGTAATATGCCTGTTCCATCTAGCTCCCGAGAATAGCCGAGACGTGGCGTTCTGCACCAGCTGGAGTTTCTGAATTGGTTTTGTGGGGGAGACCAATGTACAGTACATTACAGTAGTCTAGTCTCGATGTCACTGTGGCATGGATCCTGGTGGCCAGATCAGCTGTGAAGGGAGCATTTTTCGGGATAGGCTGAGTTGGGAGAAAGCCTTTCTTGCAACTGCATTAACTCTCTTCTTCAGCAATAATGTTGGGTCCAGTATAATGTTAAGACTCTTAACAGAGTCGGCGAAGGTTAGCTGAACCCCGCTGAAAGCAGGGAGCATAATGTCTTTCCAGACGTCTGCCTCCCCGACCTGCATCACTTCTGTCTTTTCAGGGTTTAGTTTCAATTTGTTCACTATTAGCCATTTAACCACAGCAGTTGAGGACCTCTACGGCATCGCTGCCTCCTCCTTCTTCTGCTCACCCAGCAGCCCCTCTGCCCTGACCTGGAGAGGCTGGAGGCCCCTCTGCCCCTTCCCCTCTGCTGGCTGATTGGGCTGGGCTGTTTCCCAACCCTTCCGGCCTACGGAGGAGGTATCTGCGATGGTTAAGCCCTTACCAGTTGCTTTGTCCTGGGCTCCAGTTTACCACTAGACAGACTGGTCCCCAGAAATCAAAGCTCATAACATCTGCAACAGATTTTAAAAAACCAAACAGAGATTTTTTTCTTTCTTTCCTGAAGGACCAAACAAGCATATTTTTAAAAAGTTTGATACTTAATAAAGCACAATGACATTAATCCTGATCCACAAACTACAAGGACGCTCCCGATCCACCAGGGTAATCCTTCAGTGTCTCTTGACCAGGATCAGTGATGTAACTGTTCTCTTTTCTTTCTGCTATTTTCAAATCTGTCCCTCTCCCTCTTCATAGTCAAGTGAATAAGTGTGTCTTTCCACAGTCAGAGGCGACCAAAGGGAAACAGGAAGGAGATGGAAGAGGAGGACCCAGGAAGACATGGGACAGGCAAGACAGCAAGCAAAAGCCGCCATCCCATCCAAGCATGGAGTGGAGCTGAATTTTGGGAAAGAGCTGTGCCAGAGTCTGTGATTCAGGACAATATGACCATAGATGTACGCAGCCGATGCTTCCGGCAGTTCTGCTATCGTGAGACCAATGGACCCCGAGAAGTTTGCAGCCAGCTCCATGGACTTTGCAACCACTGGCTGGAGCCAGAGAGGCACACTAAGAAACAGATCCTGGACCTGGTGATCCTGGAGCAGTTCCTGGCCATCCTGCCCCAGGAAATGCAGTGCTGGGTCAGAGGATGTGGGCCCGAGACCAGTTCTCAGGCGGTGGCCCTGGCCGAAGGTTTCCTCCTGAGTCAGGCAGAGGAGAAGAGGCAGGCAGAGCAGGTGAGGGGTTTTCATCCACTCGGTTCAAGCAATGACCTCATCCTAAGGATTCCTGCCAAATATTTCTCTCTGTGTGTGTGTGTGTGTGTGTGTGTTACCTGCCATTAAGTCTCTTCTGACTCATGGCAAGCTTACGATTTAATGTCTTCCAAAATGTCCTATAATGAACAGCCTTGCTCAGATCTTGCAGATGGAGGGCCCTGGCTTCCTTCATTGCGTCGATCCATCTCATGTTTGGCCTTCCTCTTTTCTTGCTGCCTTCGACTTTTCCTAGCATTATTGTCTTTTCCAGTGAGTCTTGTCTTCTCGTAGTGTCACCAAAGTACGATAGCCTCATTTTAGTCACTGTAGCTTCTAGGGAGAGCTCAGTGTTGATTTGATCTAGAGCCCACTGATTTGACCTTTGGGTGGTCCATGTTATGTGTAAAAACTCTCCTGTAAATACAGCGTTTCAAACGAATCAACTTCCTGTCAGCGTTCTTCATTGTCCACCTTTCACCCATACATAGTAATGGGCAGGGCTATTTTTGGGCAGGAACGCACAGGAACGGAGTTCCGGCTGGCTCCCAAGTTGGCCACGCCCAGCAGGAACTCATTAGCATAATAGGCCACACCCAACAGCAGAAAGTCATTAGGATTGGCTACATTAGGGGTGTGTGGCCTAACATGCAAAGGAGTTTCTGCTACAAAAAAAGCCCTGGGTTTTTACAACAAACAAGGTAAACAGAATAAGAAGCAAACGATGGGTGTGGCTGGATAACCACACTTCTGGTAACATGGGGGTGTGGCCTAATGTGCTAATGAGCTGTGCTGTCAGGGATGTGGCCCAATATGCTAATGAGTTCCTGTTGTTGGGTGTGGCCTATTATGCTAATGAGTTCCTGCTGGGCTTTTTCTACAAAAAGAGCCCTGGGAATGGCACGAATTAACTTGATCTTGGTCCCTGGTGACACATCCTTACACTTAAAAGACTATTTTCTAGCTCCTTCAGGGCTTTCCTTTCCAGACTCGGTCTCCTTCCAATTTCTTGTTTGCAGTCTCTTGATGATGGAGCCAAGGAACAGAAGAACTTGAACAATTTCTTCATCCTCAATCTTAAATTTCTGTCATTCCCTATTAGTCTTTACTTTTGCGTTGATGTTCAGATGTAATCCTGCATTGGCACTTTCTTTTTAGACCTTCATTATTAATTGTTTCAAGTGTTCACTATTTTCTGCCAATAATGTGGCGTCGTGTGCATATCTCAGATTGTTAATGTTCCTTCCACCAGTTTTCATTCCACCTTCACCTCAGAAAGATGAAATGCATTCTTGTCTGACACCTTTTCCAACTGGAAACCATTCTGTTTCTCCATATTTTGTCCAAACAGTGGCCTCTTGTCCAGAGTACAGGTTGCGCATCAAAGCAATCAGATGTTGTGGCACACCCGTTTCTTTTAAAACCAACCATAGCTTTTCAGGATCCACACAGTCAAAAGCTTTGCTGTAATCTATGAAACACACGTTGATTTTTTTTTCCAAAATTCTCTCTTATGCTCCAGTAACCAACATAAATTTGAAATCTGATTTCAAGTGCCTCATCCTTTTCTGAAACCAGTTTGAACCTCTGGCATTTCTCATTCCATATATGATAACAGACTATAAGATTTTGAGCTTCACTTTACTCCCATGAGGAATTAATGCAGTAGTTGCTGCAGTCTTTGATGTCTCCTGAATTGGAATGTAAAGTGAGCATTTCCAGTCTGTGGCTGTCATTTTATTTTCCATATTTGTTAGCATATTCTTGTTAAGATTTTGAGGGACCCCTCTGCTGAGCCTTGGAATAGTTATATTGATATCCCATCTACTCCTGGTGATTTGTTTTCCCCCATTGCTCTCAATGCATCTTTCATTTAACTTTCTAGAACCATTGGTTCTTCTTCAAAAGATTCTTCTTGAAAAGAATCTGTCATCCTTTCATTTCTTTTGTATCATTCTTCATTGTATTGTTCCCATCTTTCCTTAGATAGTTCTACCTCTAGATAAGCAGGGAAGAAAACCCAGCCCTGATTCTTGCCACTGTGGTTGAAGCAGGCCTGATGGTGGATGCAGGGATGAGAAGTCTGGGAGTGGGTCAGTATTCATCTCCTCAGCCTGTTCCATTCCTTCTCTTACCTATCTCCCTGCTGTTGTTTCAGATGTGGGGACAATCCATGAAGGTGGAAGCAAAGTTCTCTGAGGCAGAAGGAGCTCCATCGGAGGAAGGTCAGAGGGCGCAGGCCCAGGAGCATGCCCAAGATGCCCTCTTAAGTGGTAAGGGTATCCCATACCTAGATGGGATTGGGGCACATAGTGAAGTTATTGGGCAGAAGGTTCGTGACAGGGAGAAAAGGGAAATACTTTTGCAGACTACATAGAATGGAGTTCTGGGGTATAGTGCCGTATGGTGTAATGATCGCTATTCCACTTGAAGGAGGAGTAGACAGATTCATGGAGGGCAATTCCATTCTAATTTACATGAAGTAAAATACTATACATATCTCACCTTCCTTCTGTGGCTAGAGGGACTCAAGGTGGCTCAAGAAAGGAAACGAAGGCAAATCCTGGTGGAGCTATTAGCCGTGGTGAATAGATGGAAGCGCGACGTCCCCCTGACCTGGGTGGCCCAGACTAGCCCAGCCTCATCCAATCTCGGAAGCTAAGCAGGGTCAGCCCTGGTTAGTTCTTGGATGGGAGACCACCAGAGGAGTCCAGGGTTGCAATGCAGAGGCAGGCAATGGCATACCTCCTCTGAAAGTCTCTTGCTTTAAATAACTGGGTTCACTAAAAGTTGGCTGTGCCTTGAAAGTACTTTAGAAACACCCACCCACCCCCCATGTTCTAGGGCACGATACCTCTGAAACCTCATTGCTAGAGGCAATAATTTGGTTCTGTGCCCCTGCTTAAAGGCTTTCCAGGAGCATCAGGCAGGCCACAGTCAAAGTTTATAGTGGACTAGGGATGCCCGGCCATGGCCTGCCCCCCCTCTAGTGTTCCCTCTAAGCTGAGTTAGTGTGAGCTAGCTCACAGTTTTTTAGCCTCCGGCTCACACATTTTTGTCTTAGCTCAGGAAGGGCGGCTCCAGAGAAAACTAATTTATGCAGTAGCCAAATCACCTGCTCACAACTTTAATGCCAGTAGCTCACAAAGTAGAATTTTTGCTCACAGGACTCCACAGCTTAGAGGGAACATTGCTGCCCCCTCATGAGGTCTGAGGGTGGCACATGGGGTGGATGTGATGTGATGTTGATTTCTCGTCCAGCCAGATACCCGGATGGAAAGTCAGAGCATCAGCAGATGCCCTAGAAACCCGGCCTAGAGTTTCCAGAGCCTTGGCTGGTGTGCTAAAATCAAATCTAGATTTTTGGGCTGGATGTGATGGTGACATGTCATGCAATGTGACTTCCAGTCCCCTCTTTTCCTCCTTCCAGCCCAGACTCCAGGACAGGTGGGAGGGCCCAGCAGAGGGGAGAATGGTATGCCGGGGCTTTTGCTGAACCAGCAGGGATGCTGCAACCTTTTGAGCTCCAGGGTCCACAGGGCGCATTTCACGTTTCACAGAAGTCTGCGCGATACAAAGTCGAAAGCATAAATAAATATAAATGTGTTGGCAGCATTTATAACCCCCCCCTCCAGGCTCATCATCATCATTTATTTAATTTATACCCTGCCCTATCCCACGAGTACCTGTGGTGCTTCTCTTCCACCTCTCCTACTGTTTAGTAAAAGTCATTATTTTCTTGAGTGTAAAGAAGACAAGGTTTCACAGTCCTGGGAATGGGGATGCGTGCAGCAGAATTCAAAGAAGCAAACAAAATAGGAACTTGAGGTTAAAATTCACCCTTCCAATTTTGTCTCCCTTGCAGGCAGCAAAGAGACATTGTCGAGCCGTCGTCTTTGCAGGGGAGTCAGAACAGCTGCTCAGCCTCTGGTCCAGGTAGGGGGGTATATGGAGGGTAGTCGGGGCTCGTTTCATAGGCAGGCTTTTGCTACTGCTGTCCAAGGAAGAGAGGCTCTGAACGCCACTCTCTTTATGCGTACCAAGCTCTACATCCTGCACCCACCCATAATGCTCCCGTTGAGCGTGTAGCCTCGGCCTGTCATGATCTCTGACAAGGGAATCTGCCTTTTCTTTTAGGGTCCCTTTTCCTTTGAGGAGGTGTCCGTCCATTTCACTGAGGCAGAATGGGCCCTGCTGGATCTGAGCCAAAGAGCTCTCTACAGGGAAGTCATGCTGGAGAACTATGGGAGCGTGGCCTTTCTGGGTAAGGATCTGTCGTAGGTTCCAAAGGTGTGAATTGCTGCCATTGGGATGATGCATGAATCAAAATATTGAACAGTAATATGTGGTGGTGAGGCCTGCCCAGCTAGTTGGCCACCACTGGGGGCCTCAAGGAGTTGGGGTGGCAGTGGAAGTGATGTTCAGCATGCCCACGTAGAGCCATACAAGCCACCCCTCTGATCCAGGGGCAACTGAGGTCAGTGTTGTGACCAAGGCAGAGAGGGTGCCCTGTCCTGAGGCTAAGGCAGGGCTGAGAGGCCCTCAGAAAGACTCTGGAAGGGACCAGATCCCAATATCTCAGTTGCCAGCCTTTACAACACACCCTCCCCCTGGACAGGATTACGGCCATCGGCTCTGTCTGTGATCTGATATGGATCCGTCCCCCTTGTACAGGTTCACATTGTGGGCCTTGATCTTGATCATGTCCTTCCACAAGAATTTTTCCTCTTCCTTGGATTTTCTTCCTTCCCTATATAAGAATTCTCCCTCTCTCCCCCCTCTCTCCCCCCTCTCTCTGCCAAAGAAGCCAGGCGTAGGGCTCTTTTTGTAGCAGGTACTCATTTGCATATTAAGCGACACACCCCTAATGTAGCCAATCCTCCAAGAGCTTACAGTAGCTCCTGTAAGAAGATCTTGTAAAGCTCTTGGAGGATGGGCTACATTAGGGGGTGTGCCCTAATATGCAAAGGAGCTCCTGCTACAAAAAGAGCCCTGATTTGCCAGACAAAGGCTTCTCATCTGAAGAATGGCTGCAGAGTTTCTCTAGAAGATCTCAAGAGACTATTACCTTCCCAAATGAACTGTCTGCAAGTGAGTATCCCTTCATGGTTATATCAAGTGAATGGGCAAAGAATACCCATGGGCAAAGTTCCCTCTAAGCTGTGCTAGGGGGTACTGGTGCACAAAAGTTTAGCTGGCAGCATGGGGATTTTTGCCTCAGTCCACGAGTGAACTGAGAAGGCATTTTTTCCCCCCTCCATTGGAAACAATGGAGGATGGGGGCACCTCGTTCTGGGGCCCATAGAATTGGAGCCCCTGGTCCAATCTTTTTGAAACTTGGGGAGTTTTTTTGAAGAGAGGCACCAGGAGCTATGTTGCAAATTTGGTGCCTCTACTTCAAAAAACAGCCCCCCCCCGAGCCCCAGATACCCCCGGATTGATTCTCCATTATCGCCTATGATGCCCATTGACTATAGTGGTCCCCATAAGCTGTAATGAAGCTGCAAAAAATTGATTTTTTTTTGCACACCCCTATTATGCTTTTCAATATGATTTGTAAGCTGCCTTGAGTCACAGGGAAAATTGGGATATAAATATTTGAATAAATAAGCAATTTAGAAGAGGAGATTCGATTTCTACCCCACCCTTCACTACCCAAAGGAGTCTCAGAGTGGCGTACAATTTCCTTTCCCTTTCCCTCCCCACAACAGACACCCTGTGAGCAATGCTCCCTCTAAGCTGTGCAGACATGTGTGCAAAAATTCTACTTTGTGAGCTACTGGCATTAAAGTAGTGAGTGAGCCATTTGGCTACTGCATAAATTGGTTTGCTCTGGACCCATCCTCCCCTTAGAGGGAGCACTGCCTGTGAGGTAGGTAGGGCTGAGAGAGCTCTTTCGAGAACTGCTCGTGAGAGAACAGCTCTGAAAGAACTTGTGACTGACCCAAGATCACACCAGCAGCTTCATGTGGAGGAGTGGGGAATCAAACCCGGTTCTCCCAGATCAGAGTCCACGCTCCTAACCACTACACCCGACTGGCTCTCCCAAAATGGCTAAACCAGTTTAGGCTGGTTGATAACATCTAAGTAACTTCCTGTTAGGTTAGGCAGGGTTCTCACAGTGACTGTTCCACCTCTGTGAAACTTGACCTGTAATGCTGGTTGTCATATTTCCCACCCAAAAACCAAAGTAGACTGCAAGCCCCGCCAAGCCTACCAATATAGTGGACTGGGGTGGGTAGACCTGTTCTCTGGAGGCCAAGCCTACCAATATAGTGGACTGGGGTGGGTAGACCTGTTCTCTGGAGGCCAAGCCTACCAATATAGTGGACTGGGGTGGGTAGACCTGTTCTCTGGAGGCCAGGTCTACCAATATAGTGGTCTGGGGTGGGTAGACCTGTTCTCTGGAGGCCAAGCCTACCAATATAGTGGACTGTGATAGGTAGACCTGTTCTCTGGAGGCCAAGCCTACCAATATAGTGGACTGGGGTGGGTAGACCTGTTCTCTGGAGGCCAGGTCTACCAATATAGTGGTCTGGGGTGGGTAGACCTGTTCTCTGGAGGCCAAGCCTACCAATATAGTGGACTGTGATAGGTAGACCTGTTCTCTGGAGGCCAAGCCTACCAATATAGTGGACTGGGGTGGGTAGACCTGTTCTCTGGAGGCCAGGTCTACCAATATAGTGGACTGGGGTGGGTAGACCTGTTCTCTGGAGGTCTACCAATATAATGGAAAGGGGAGGGTAGACCTGTTCTCTGGAGTGAAAAGGGGAGGGGAGACCTGATCTCTGGAGGCCAGGTCTACCATTATAGCGGAAAGGGGAGGGTAGACCTGTTCATCAAAGGCCAGGTCTACCAATACAGCGGAAAGGGCCAAGTAGATCCATTCTCTGGGGCCTGGTCTACCCCCATAGAGGACATTTTCTGTAATGAAATTTTACTTGAATCTGGTTCCTCTTATAATGTTTACATTATTCTTAAAATACAGTTTAAATATAGTTTAAAATAATTCATTCTGAGATTTTTAAAAGGTTATGGAAATAATCTAAAAAACTAATTTACACGATAGTCAAATGTAGTCTCACTCACAACTTTAATGCTGCTAGCTTTTTTCACTCACGTGGAAGAATGGGGCCTATTCACGTCTATGCAACCCTTGGTTTGGTAGAATTATTAAGCCTGCTGGGTAAGGAGGGAGGGGGGCCTTCTGGGGCCTGGGATCCAGAGGCTTGGAAGCTCCTTCTGGGGCTGAGCATACCTCTGCCTGTTGAGT